CATCCCACATTTTGGCTGGTTTTCGTGCAGGAATTTTGCTCCCTCTCTTCCCAAAGAGCTAAGACATCTCCTCACAACTACAATACAGCCACTCTTGTTTCTCCCTGACCTGAAGTCACCGCGACAGTTTCCCAGGGCAACCGCACCCCAAAGCCAAATAGCCAACCGCCAGTATCCCTTCTAGGTGCAATCCAGGCCAATCCTATGCCAAGTGACTTCAGACTAAAGCCACTGATATCTGCAGGCCTTTGCTCAAATAACTCAGCGTTAAGATTGCACTGCAAAGAAGAAAGCTGTCCGTGGCGCTAGAAACATGTGATTTAGCTCTGCGTTCCGATTTGTGTGGAGAAGCTATATAAAGTCGGTTGACTGGAAATTATATATATATAAATGAATAAGGGGCCAGTTTTGGGGATTCCAACTTTTCTGAGGAAGCGAGCTTTCCCCCACTGACACCCCTTTCCTCCTCCACAGTTAGGCCCAGGCCTATTTTCTTCCCCTTCAAAATCCCCTCGTGTTCCCATGGCAACAACCCATGCTCAGGGTTTCCACGGTAACCGTACCAGAGGCTGAAGAAGGCAGAGGAAGCAAGCAAAATCTGAGAATTGGGGCAAACGGAAAGGGAAGATTTTCTTTTTTAAAGGGGGGGGGCTTTTCCACAGCATCTCCAAGAGTGTCCTGCAATAACCGCTGCTGCAATCCCGCAAAGCATCTAGGGTCTCCCAACACCCATAAGAACTTGTGGGAATGCTGACCTTAAACAGTGCCATGGGGCCTTTTGGCCCACAAGTATCCTGCAAACAGGAGTAACCTTACTCTAGGGCAGCAGAAGGCCCCAGCGGCACTGTTTAAAGTCAGTGTGACCACAAGTTCTTCTGGCGGGTCAGGAAGCTGACAATCCCACATCACAGTGAGGCTAGAAAGGTCGCTTTCTAGGTTTGAGGCCTAGAAACGGCAGCCACGGAGAAAAGATAACTTAGGCCCCAGTCACACGGGCCGGATATCGCGGAGGGGAGGCGTGGCTAATTGCCCCGCTGCGGGGAGACATGTCTGGCTTCCCTGCTCGATCTTCTCCAGGTGTTCCGCAGCTGCGGGCACCTGGAGAAGATTGGGCTGGGAAGCCAGGCATTTAATTCCCCTCCCCGGGGGGGCCTGGGCTTGTGTCTGCCGGGGCGCCCCAGCAGGAAACAACCCTTGGAGGTAAAAAACGTAAAGGTTCCCTTGCTCAAAAGCCAGTCGAATCCGACTAGGGTTGCGGTGCTCATCTCCGTTTCAAAGCCAAAGAGCCAGCGCTGTCGAAAGACGTTTCCGTGGTCATGTGGCCAGCATGACTAAACACCAAGGCGCACGGAACGCTGTTACCTTCCCACCGAAGTGGTACCTATTTATTGACTTGCAATTTCTTGCTTTCGAACGGCTAGGCTGGCAGGAGCTGGAACTAGAGACGGGAGCTCACTCCGTCATGCGGCACACTCGGGTCTCGAACTGCTGAACTACCGACCTTCCACAGCCTGCAGTTCAGTGTCTTAACCATTTGAGCCATCGTACCTTGGAGGTACTAGGTTTTTAACTCGCATTGTTGGCGGTAAGCCATGGGTGCGCTCCACTTCCCAGATGTTGGGGTGTGATCGCACCCGGATAATCCGCCCACCATCCGTGCCTCTCCCGCGGCAACTTTGCCGTGTGACCGGGGCCCTGGAATAGCGGGCCTTTCTACACCTCTATCTTGTGGGCAGCTTTACCATAAGCCCCACGGTAAAGCTGCCCACAAGATAGGGGTGCAGAAATTCCAGGTTCCCGCCAATGCTCCCTCTAAGCTGTGGAGTCTTGTGGGCAAAAATTCTACTTTGTGAGCTACCGGCATTAAAGTTGTGAGCGAGCGATTTGGCTGCTGCATAAATGAGTTTGCTCTGGAGCCGTCCTTCCTGAGCTAAGACAAAAATGTGTGAGCCGGAGGCTAAAATACTGTGAGCTAGCTCACACTAACTCAGCTTAGAGGGAACACTGGTTCCCGCTATTCCAGGTTCTTTTGTAGCCTCAATGTGATGTGGAATTGTCACCTTCCTTTCTTCCACCCCCCTACCCCACCCCACCTCGTTAGCAAAGCTCTAGTGATTTGCCACTGCATGACAGGTAGAAATTCAACAGGCAAGCGTTTTCCACAGCACTGCAATACAGTGATTGAGACAGCTCTGTTTGTTGAATTTCTGCCTGTTGGACAACTGCTAAAGGTATAGAACCATTGAGGGGGATACCCCGAGACCCGTGTCAACTCTATCTAGAGCCAGTTTGGTGTAGAGTTTAGGAGTGCGGATTCTAATCTGGGAGAACTGAGTCTGACTCCCCACTCCTCCACATGCAGCTGCTGGTGTGACCTTGGGTCAGTCATAAGTTCTTTCAGAGCTGTTCTCTCAAGGGCAGTTCTCAAGAGAGCTCTCTCAGCCGCACTACCTCGCAGGGTGACTATTGTGGGGAGGGGAAGGAAAAGGAGATTGTCAACCGCTCTGAGACTCCTTCTAGTGAAGGGCAGGGTAGGAATCCAATCTCTTCTTCTTCTTCTCTCACATGGGAGCGGAAAAACTCCAACGAGAAAGCACTCCTCTTCGCTTTGAGGCATGAGGCGGTTTAGCGCAAGCCACAGGGAAGCCTTTGGAACACGCACAGTACACAAAACACCGAACACCCCTGGCTAAGGGTTGCCAGGTCCCCCTGGCCAACAGCAGGGAGGGTTGCTGGATCCAGGTTGGGAAACTCCTGGAGACTTGGGGGTGGAGGCTGGGGAGGGCAGGGGCCTCAGTGGGGCGTAATGCCATAGAGTCTACCCTCCAAACCATCCAGTTTGTCCAGGGGAACTGATCTCTATGGTCTGGAGATGGGCTGTAATTCCGGTGGATCCCCAGGTCCCACCTGGAGGCTGGCATCCCTAGCTCTGGCCAAAGAAGATCAAACTCTACCGGCAGTGTCCTGAACAAAGAGATGGATTACAGAGGCCAAGTAGGCCTCTATCCCAGTTTGTGCTAACCAATTCCCCCCCTGCACCCCTCTCTAGTTATCTGTCTCCTAATTCCTTGGTACTCATCCTCTATGTTCCTTAGACATAGTTAGATTCAAGATCCACAAATCCAAATTGGTTGCCTCCTAATATACTTTAACGACCCTTTTGGACATGCAGTTTCACTAGCATTCAACGACTGTAAACGGTGGACGAGGGGTTACCAAGAGGCCCACCTTTGCACAGCAGATGTTGCGCATGGCATGATTAATGTGTTATGCATTAATGACTCTGAGCACCGAAAGGCACAACAATTACTCTTGCGGTGCCACAAATGCAGAAGGTGCACGCTCTTACGACGGATTACTTAATCCAGAAAAAATACTATCGCCGGCACCGTGTGTCGTGAGGTTGACAATTGCCAGTCACAACTGACAGGTAAACTGCCGTGTAGTCAGCTGAACAGTGAATATGACAAGTAGATCAAGAGGGATTATTGATCAAAAAATACCTTAAGAGCGTGCCTAACATACACGGTATGCTTTCGTGGTTCCCTTTAGCTTCGTTCACTTATCCTTTTCTCCCATTCCCAACCCAATAATCCCAGTCGCTCCTGTCACCCCTCAACACCAAACAGCCACAACCCCCCGCCCGTCATGCTCTCCTCACGGCAAAACAGCACAGCATCAGTCCCTCACACCAGATTCCGCGACCAAATCCACAAAGAGGGATTATTGATCAAAAAATACCTTAAGAGTTGTGCCTAACATACACGGTATGCTTTCGTGGTTCCCTTTTACTTCGTTCACTTATCCTTTTCTCCCGTTCCCAACCCAATAATCCCAGTTGCTCCTGTCACCCCTCAACACCAAACAGCCACAACCCCCCGCCCCGTCATGCTCTCCTCACAGCAAAACAGCACAGCATCAGTCCCCCACTCCAGATTCCGCGACCAAATCCACAAACGCTTATGCTAGACTAAAATCTTGTCAATCGTTATGGTGCCACGAGACTCCCGCTCACGCCAGCCGGCCCACATCCTCCTGAATCGCAGGCACCATATCTGCATTCTCACGCCTTCCTCGGGCCAAACATGGATTTGTGAATGGGGGAAGGAGTCCTCTTTTCCCTGCAAAGCAACTGCAGGGTCCGAGGCACACTAAGGGACACGCGATCCCGTGCCACGGCCTTGAAAGCACACCCAGCGAGACACGGGACGCAGCGAAGAAACGAATGAGTGGCCTTCGAGGGGTGTCACTCAATGAACCTCAGGAATGGGTCAAGCTTCGGATCTAGGGAAGGCTGGGCTCTTCAGGAGTCCTCGGGCCAAACATGGATTTGTGAATGGGGGAAGGAGTCCTCTTTTCCCTGCAAAGCAACTGCAGGTTCCGAGGCACGCCAAGGGACACGCGATCCCGTGCCACGGCCTTGAAAGCACACCCAGCGAGACACGGGACGCAGCGAAGAAACGAATTAGTGGCCTTCGAAGGGTGTCACCCAATGAACCTCAGGAATGGGTCAAGCTTCAGATCTAGGGAAGGCTGGGCTCTTCAAGGGTCTGGCTGGCCCCTGTGGCATTCGAGGTCACAAATACTGTCCCCCCAGTTTCATGGCTGGGGAGAAGTCTCCCTTCTCCCTTCGTCAATATTGCAGCAAAACCCAAAATAACCCAGGTTGGCTCTTCTGCCTTCACTTCTCCCCATTGGTTATAAAGGCGGGGGGGCAGCTGGAACACACACCCCCAATCCCCCATTGCCACCCCACAGCCCAGCCATCTAGTGGGCCCCCAGTAAGCAACCATCACCCTTGGCACCAAAGGAGAACGGAATGTGTTTTGGCAACCATCTGGAAATAGCTGATGCCCATCAGGGGGGCAAAGCAGGGGGAGGGGAATCTTTGGGGGGGGGATCAACCCAAAAGGGGGGCGGACGAATACAAATGTGGTTC